GTTATAGTTACCATCTCATTTCGACCCGCCCCCCCCCCCCCCCACGTAGCTCAGGGGTAAGTCTGAAGGCTTATAATGCTAAAAAAATCTGGGTTTCAATACCTGTGGTGGGCACCGTGCGCTTAACAACAAACAAACAAAACCTTACCTACAAAGTTTCTCTGTGAAACATTCAAGTGTTCCACCATCAAAAACATTTTGTACTGAACTTTGTAATATTGACTATGGAATATGTTATTTGTTATGATAAAACAAAGATGTATACAACAAATATTCAAGCAGAAATTTAAACGTGTTCACCAATGAAAATATTTGTTATAAGAATTTATATTATTTAAACATTTATTGACACTTTCATATTTATTTTAATGAAGATTATCAGTACCATTTAAAAACAGTTGTCAATGGAAATGAATATGAAGGAAGGTTTGAACATAAACAAAGATGTTAGGCCACTTAGTAGTATTCAGTTTATATTAATGAAAAGCTTGGAGGTTGGGATTTATTCCCCTAAATTGGGTTTAGCCAAATATAATTGTTAATTACAAAGTTAATCTGAGTTAAATATATTGGAAAAACAAAATGTTTTTTGTGCTTTATAGGTATTAGAAGATACAGACTATGGTAGAGCAGTAGACTGGTGGGGATTGGGAGTTGTCATGTATGAGATGATGTGTGGATGTTTACCCTTTTACAGCCGTGACCATGATATTCTTTTTGAGTTAATTTTGGTGGAAGAAGTCAAATTCCCAAAGTCTCTTTCTTCTGAGGCTAAAAGTCTACTAAGTGGTCTTCTTGTTAAAGATCCCAAAAAGAGGTATATGTTGCATATATATAAATGATTAATCTCTATGAAAATTATATTTCATTGGTTCATATTAACATATGTGTTGTTTTTATTATCAAATCTATTAAAAGTTCATATTCATTTACCTCTATATTTCTTTAAAAAATTTAACAATTATGTGCTTGATTATTTACAAGTATTTTTTAGTTTTGTAAAAATTATATACTGGAAAAGTTGTATGATATCAAAATCATGCAATAGTTGTTAACCTACAAATACTTTCACACTTTGAAATCAAAATATCATTCTTATTTTTCCATTGTAGTCGCCTTTTACCTATTTGTATTATTTTACACTTATATGTGTTGTGTTTTTCAAATCAACATTATTGTTTTAGTATGTGTATACTAGTGCTTGCCTAATATCAAGTGTGTAGTACCAAGTATACGTATAGCTTTAAAAATATTTTAGCCAATTTGAACTAGAGCAGTGCCTTCAATGCTCATTGTGGTTTCTTGCAAGTAGTTTGATAATTTTATAAAATTATTTAGTTCCCTTAACTCAGTTGATAGAGTTATTTAGTTCCCTTAACTCAGTTGATAGAGTTATTTAGTTCCCCTTAACTCAGTTGATAGAGTTATTTAGTTCCCTTAACTCGGTTGATAGAGCACTTGCCTTTCATATTTATTTTAAGTAATAATTAAGGAATTATTGTAAAAGTGAGGTGAACCTAAGATTTTCAATCATGTATTTATTAAATCTAAAAATTGAGAAAACATATCAGGATAACTATCAGGAACTTCATAAATACACTACTTTTATCATCTGGTGTTTGGTTGCATGTGAACATAATTAAATTTGATGAGTTATAAACTTGTTCAAATCAGAAAATAAATGCTTCGAAAAAAATTGGGCTTTAACCATCAGGGAATAACACAAAAATATGTGACTTATGGAGAGTGTTGAGGTTTTTGGAAACTGTTCAAGACAGCTTTCTTCACCAGTTGGTCAAGAAACCTTCTAGAAGCGATGTTATTTCAGATTTATTGTTAACTTCAAATATAGAAATGATTGATAGGGTGGAAATTGGGGGAACATCTGGGTACAAGTGATCATTGCTCTATTAGGTTTGATGTTTTGCTGCATATGGAGATAAAGAATAATGATATTTTGGTTACAGATTTTGAAAGGATGCAACAAGAATTATCTGTTGTGAATTGGGCAGCTGAGCTATTTGGAGACACTGATCAAATGTTCAAAATTTTTAAGGATAAGTTTTTAAATATTCAAGGTAACATATTCCTTATTGAAAGAAAAGGGTGGCTGCAAATAAAAAACCAGGTTGGCTTATAAAGAGTACAAGAGATAAAATTAAAGAAAAACATCATAAGTTTAAGAAATTTAAATTGACTGGTATGACAGGAGATTTAGAAGATTAAAGATCAAGAAAGTTGTTCAAACTAGAAATTAGAACAATTGAAGGATTAATGAGAAAAGGTTGGTTGAAAATGTAAATATTAACAGTAAGGATTTCTTTAAATACATTAAGGGTAAACAAATGTTATGCAAGGAGTAGGACTCTTGAGGGATGATAAAAGAAGGCTCATACGTATCTGATGATTATGAGATGGTTGGGTTATTAAATTCTGCTTTTCCTTCAATTTTTACTACTGAAGATTTAATTAGATTTAAGCAGTATTCCACATCTTGAGCAGTTGCCAGATGGAAACAAGATTGAACAAGATGACTGCATTGATTCTGAGCTTGTTAACAAAAATAATGGGAAGCTTAAAGAATGATAAAGCTCCTGGGCCAGATAATATTTCTCCGAGAGTTTTAAAGGAGGTTAAGTATTGGATATGTGAGCCACTTGCTACTATTTTTTGCAAGTCCTTGAATAGTGAGCAGTTATTAGAGGATTGGAAGGTAGCTAATGTCACTCCTATTTTCAAATGAGGTGATAAAAATTGTCCCAGTAATTATAGGCCTATATGTAAAGGAGGGGATCTGATTGAGGTCTTTGAGATTGTAAGGCGAATTGATAGTGTTGATGCATTATCTTTTTTCATACTTAATAGTGAGATTAGTAGGACTAGGGAAAACAAATATAAATTTTGCCAGGGTAGGAGTCATTTCCAATTAAGACAGTTATTTTTTTCTATCAGGGTGGTTGTCCTTTGGAATTGATTGCCTTCAGATCTTGTGGAGGCAGTAAATTTAAGTGAGTCTAAGAGAAAGCTTGATAACTGTATGAATGATAAGGGCTGGTTTTAAGATTTTTTTTTAATTATTGTAATTTAATTTGGAGGATGGAACACCTGAGATGGACTAATAGGTCCCATGCTGCCCCAAAACATTATGTTATATGTTATGTTATCTTGATCCTTGTTACCTAGTTCATTCTGATCCAACTAGATTTTCAACTTTAACTATCTAAAACTTGTATTCTTGATGCACTTCATGCATGGTCTTTTTATTGTATGAGATAGTCAAAAGATAGGGGAAAGCGGGGAGAACTGGCACACAATATCATATCTGCTACCTTTGGCTTTGTGACGATCCAATTTTCAAGGATGGAAAATGGTTTTAAAATGAATTAAATAGCTTAGGCAACCCAAAAATTAGGCAAATGTTCATTACATTTATATTATATTTCTTTTTGAAATTATTACATAGTTTGCAAGCTGCTTAATTTTGGGGTGAACTGGGACTTATGAGGGAGAAACTGGGACATTGCTTGGGGGAAATGGGACATTAACATAAAAGATTTCATAAACATGATTACTCCATATCCAGGTACATGTAATCATATAGAATTTGTTCTTTATATGTAAAGGCATATATTCTTAGAGGAACAAGTAATTCTTATGTAATTATGCCATTAGATGAATGTAAACAGGTTTGGCATGAGACGTGTCACAATAAAGAATTTTACTGAGCAGCACTAGCTAAATTAAAATTTAGGGAACAGCTTAATTTTACATATATAAAGCAAATGGATAAACACATTCGACATTTTGTCACACGTGACTTAACATATTAAATGATGCTTGTCAGTAACGTGATAGCATGATAGAACATACAAGGAAAATTATTAAACAGAAGTCTGAGTAAATAGTCCAAGGCAATGTCTATTATACAAAATGACCAACAGTCTCATTAGCTTATCCATATCTAATTTAACATTGTCTGTTACACAAAATATGTAGCTGCAATAAAACCTTAATTTATATTTTGCCAACACTAAACATTTCAATAAAAATAATTTTGTCAGGATACTTGTCAACTGCAGCAACTTTTCTTACTCTCAATGAACATCAAATTTTCCTAAACTGACTTGAAAGTTCAGTTCATTTTGTGTACAGGCAGCAGTTGTACCTTTGGCCACTGGTTTTGGCATGACTAGTTTGATTTGGTCTTTCTTGACTGTTGCCTTATCTTGAACTCTAGGTTTGAAAAACTTATTTGCTACCTTTTGATGTTTTCTTGAGAATTCTACCTCATAGTCACCATCTTCTTCAAATTCTTACAGCACTTTGCCCACATAATAAACTAGTTTACTCTTTTTCTGTGTTTTCATTTCAACCAACACATAGCTCTGAATCTTAATATTGTAATCAACATTTCCTAACTATAAGCTTGCTGTTTGTTCTGTCTCCCCATCACTGTTATCTGACGTATCATCACTATTCACAAAAGAGTTACTGTCATCATTGTTGTCAGAAGATGAACTGTCTTTCCTTCACTCTACTGCCAACCATCTCCTAGGGTCCTTAGTCAAGCATTGTCTTGCCTTTTTTGCTGCACTAGATTGGGCTTCGTCCTTCATACGTTTCATTTCTGGTGTTGATGTAGCTATCATTGTCTTTCCTCTTTTTTTGACCATGGTTTGATAAAGAAGTTCTTTGAACAACCTGCAAAATTTCCAATACATGAAATACTACTGAAACAGTTTTGGATTTTTTTTTTTGTGAAATCAGATCCAAACCGTTAAATAAATGGCAACATGTTACCTTTGACAATTCCCATACTTGTTCAGGTGTAATGATGGCAGCAGAACCTGAAGTGGGGTCTGACTGTACAGATGAAGCCACTTGTGCATGGATTTCATCATTGTGAGGATATGCACAACTGGGACCTGTGTCTAACTGTTCAGATAAGAAGGTTTGTGCATGAACTTCATCATTGTCAGGATCAGGTAGATCTGCTTGGCTGGGACCTGGTGATGACTGGTCACTCATCACATTCATTGGTAATGATGTAGCAGTAGCTGTCACTGGTGGACCTGGTTCTGCCACATCTTGAGTATTGTTACTGGAATAGACGATACAAGGAAATCATCATCAGAAAAGACATGTCTCTCATATGGCTAAATCCCAGAAGCTTTGAAGCCATCTGTAATGTTGGCTGGAGTAGCAGCTTTTATCCATGCAGCACCAATCAGCTGTGCCATTAGATATATTGTAATGCAATCGCCAGTGTTTCATGTCATCCAGCTGATTTCCTAAGCATTGAAGTAGGTCTTTATTGGGCCAAAAGTAGACCGATCTAGTGCTGGGTTCTATGACTTGTGTGTGGAAGCAGTATGCTAACATGTACTCCATGGTCCTTTGCATACTCCAGAGCACCAACAGACAGATGGCTTTTATGGTTATCATTGACTTGAATGACAGGATTTTTCTTGGAAGAATGACTGTATGTAACAAAATGTTCCATGAATTTTATGAATAGGTCACTGTCCATCCAACCAGACTTAGACACCAATCCTAAGGAATCTTTAGGAGCTCCAGTGAGGAAAAGTCTTTGTAGTTTTTCCTAGGAAATATCAGAGCTGGGGGCAGTGCTATTCTAGTTGCAGAAATGATGGCACAAACTGTCACAAGTTCATCTCATTCACATGACGTCACTTGGCACATTTGTTTCTCGCCTTTACTGCTTACAACCTTTGGAACCTTCTGCACTGTAGTAAATACTGATTCATCCAGATTATATATATTCTTCCAATAATGTTCTTATCATTTATAATTGTTTCCAAAAGATTGAAGAACTTATTCACTGTATGTCTGCTGAAAGCAGATGCATGCATCAATGGTGTTGCCTCTGGAGAATGGCTTGAGAGAGTTGAATGTCTGTGCATAAAGCCAGTAAACCAATCCTTTCTGGGCATTTTTGTCTCATTCCAGTTTGTTGGTACTTAAATTTGTTCTTCAGAGCCAGTTCATAAGTTATTTGTCTTACTTTGATAGGAGTAAGACCATGAAACATCTTTGATGCAGTTGTTAGGTATTCTGCAATGTTTTTTTCTTCATTTTCATTGAACACTTGACTGGGTGTAATTAGGTGCCAGTCTGGTATTTGGATTACTGTTGTATTTCTTTACATATCTTGCAAGTACACTTTTTGATACTCCTCTATCTTTTGCTACTTGTTGTATTGATTTGCTCTTTTGAACAGCCTTCACTGCTTCTAGCATGGTATCATGTGGAACAAGTCCCATGCCAGTTTTTCTTTTGTGATACCTTGTCATTTTCAAGCTTTCTGAAACAATGAATAAATGGTACTAGGAAGAACTGGGACAAGGTGTCTCAGTTCTCCCCCAACTATAACCTCTCACAAGATGTTTAGCAGTATTTTTTACTTGCAAGTAATTCACAAAAGATTCAGGTGTTTTACCAACGTTTGATATGTACCTATCTTTGTTAATAGATAACAGTAGTTACTCTATCTTAGTCACAAGAAGATATAGTATACCTCCTAAAAATTAACTTTTAATGGGTGAATAATAATGTTTTGATTGCAACACTCACCTCAAACATGTGATTGCCACATTTCTTCTTGTAAAATGGATGACCTAGAGGCCTGCACAATCATATTATCATTTTTTTAATTGGTCAATAAACCTGAGAATTAGAGCAGGTGTCCCAGTTCTCTCTGCTCTTCCCTAACAAGAGTTTGAGAGAGGCAAAATCTTCAGCTTTCATGAGTCTAGTAGTATTCTGGTATTTTTATTGACATGAACATTTTTCCATATGAAAATGATAAACCAACATCCTTCTTTTTATTTTTATTTTTTTGGTCATATTCTAGGTAATATTTCATAACTTAAGTGAATATTAATAAAGAATTTCTTGTAAATTTATTCCTGTTGCTTAAGACAGGTTGAAGCAAATAGCACAAAACTTATCTTGTTGATTATTAATAGCTAAAACAGTGTTCTCATTGCTAACAAAATATGTTAATGCAATTAATTTTCATCACTAAACTCTATGAGAATAATCACGTGAACTGTGTCTGTTAAAAAAGTGGTAATTATCAAACAAGAAGAAAATATTCCAAAATAGGTTTAGAAAAAATCAATATATACTTCACTTGGGATCAACATATGATAAATGCCAACTCACTCAACCATTAATAAAAAAATCTTGATCTTAAGTTTCAGTTTTAACATTTTCACTAATTGTACTTAACAGAAGAGTTAAAAATAAAATTGATTAAACTACACTGTTTGTTTTATATGTTACATACTCTGACGTTTTAATTATTTTCATAATGAATTATTAAGCCTGAAGTTGATAAAGTACTGGTGAAATAAGACATCATTGCTTAAATAACTCAAATAATTTTCCTTTTATAAACATACTAAAGTTGAGAGAAGAACTTTTTTTGTTATTTACAGTGATCTTCATTTCATACACTTATCTACGAGTTGCTTACAAGTATAGAAATATTTTAACATATTATAACATAACACAATATAATATTTTGGGACAACAAGGGGCCTATTGGTTCATCTCAGCTGTCACATCCTCTAAAGTAAACTAAAGCTATTAAATAAATAAATTTCAAAATATTAACTTGGTAGTACTTAGACCATTATTACTTATAAATTCAAAAATCAGTCACTGGTAAGTATTTTTTACTACTGTTTAATCCACTTTCCAAAAATACATTCACACCAGAACTTGGTTTCACACTGAAATTCATTAAAATAGAAATTCCTAAGGCCACTGTTATTCATAGAGAACATGCCTGTAATGTAGAATAATACCAATATTTTGGGTTTATTTACTTAGATTTATAGATTATACACAAATACCAAATTGACGAGGTTTACTTATAAGGCCAGAAGGAAAATAGAAGGAATTGGCTTATATTTTCATGCATTGTATAAAATTTCATGATGCTATGTTTCTAACTTGACTTGCTGTAATTTTAATAATGCATGTACTTAGAACCATATAGAACAGTGAAATTGGCCTGAAAATGGATATAAATGTAGTTCGACATTTTCACACATTGTAAATGTATTTTGAATTTAAATCTGAGTCGGATTTGACACAGAACCAAAATTTGGGTCAGACTAAACAACATTTAACAGTTACTAAGTAGGTGCTGCTTTTGTAACTTTACTAATTGAATATAATTGTTTTTCATCAATGAGGTTAACTGCTTCAGTTATACTTATTATAGAGTAACTTAAATATTAAAATAAACAGTATATATTGATAGTTTTGACTTTCGTATCTTTTGTCTGACAGTCAAGGATTACAGATATTTAAGGTTCAAGTGTTTATACAATGAAGTACATAACTTATGTCATGGTACCTTTTTCGTTCTTAGACTTGGTGGAGGCCAGGATGATGCCAACGAGATTATGGTCCATCCATTTTTTCGTGTAATTAACTGGCAAGATTTATTAGAAAAAAAGGTCAGCAAACAGTTTAATGTTTTATAATTCTTTTGTTAATCATTTTTCTTTCAACAATATCAATATAAAATTTTAACAGTCTGTTTATACTTTATCAGCTATTCAGTTTCATATTTAGTGCTTTCTTTTAGGAAATTTTAATATTTGAGATATATTCAAATATTGAAATAAACATTTAGTGGAAAGGGATTAAAAACCTAAGAGGCAGTTTTATTAAAATTTACAATAACAACATAAATGTCAAATATTTCTTTCAAATATTTAGTAATGATAGTGACAAAATCAAGACCTATGTACTTGTGAACCCATGTATAAAGTCATGTATCTTTTAACGTTTCCAAATATAATTTTTTTGTAATTGCGTGAAATAGTGCACGCACCATAAATATATTTATCTTACAATTCTGTTTGAGGTTTATTTCAGTATTTTACATTATAATGCATAATAATAAAATTAGCTCAAAAATGTTGTTAGAACATCAATATATTATCAATTTACTTATGAAAGAACAAACATTTTGTGAGGTTTACACCTCAGAGCTTTTAACTGTGAAGCAACTAAATATAGATTACTACTTCCATAATAATAACACTTGAAATTTTTGTTCATTAAAAAAAAAGCCCCCCAGTGGCACAGTGGTATGTCTGCAGACTTACAATGCTAAAAACCGGGTTTTGATACCCGTGGTGGGCAGAGCACAGATAGCTCATTGTGTAGCTTTATGCTTAATTACAAACAAACAAACATTAAAAAAAAATGTTTTTATTAAATTTATGCTCTGAAACTCTTAAAAGTAGTTTTTTTTTCAAGACCCAACTAAATTTTTTTTGTTTCAAATAATGATTAAGGGTTCTGGAAACTTTGCAACTGTTTATTTAGGAAAAAATAATTTGATGTGAAGGACAGTGTAATATTTTTATAGATGAAGCTGTTTTATTTATCTTATGTTTTTGATTTTAGTTGCTACCATACTGATTGTTATTTACATACTGTGTATGTGATCAGGTTATACCACCCTTCAAGCCTCAAGTTATGTCAGATACAGATACTCGCTATTTTGATCAAGAGTTTACTGGAGAAACTGTAGAGCTAACTCCAAAAGATGAAGCTCCCCTTAACTCCATCTCTGAAGATACAGAACAGCCTTACTTCCAGCAGTTTTCCTTCCATGGCAGTAGTGGTACACTTGGACATAGTATTGACCACTGAGATTTCACTTATGAAATGTTGCTTGTTGCATATATTGTCTTTTGTCTAGAGTAATTAGGTAATGGACTATAGTAAGGTTAGTTCATGAGACTTTTTTCATGCATTTCAGAAAGTTAAAATTTGAGTTTGCTATCAGATACTGCCCTTTACTTCCAATTATCTGGATTAATTAATTTTGTGTTAACATTAGTAAGGACAAAAAAGAAAGAACATTGAATTATCAGTACGATGAGTTGTTGTAAAAAATTTTGTTTTTCGTATATTTATAAACCCTGGTGCATATGGCATAAATGATGTAATATTATTTCATGTCAAATCATTTTATTATCAATATCATGTATTGATGAAACCCAATGCTTTAATTACAACAACAAATACAACTGTTCATAATTTCTTAAAATCTGTTTAACACTATTAACTCTCCTTATTTGTTTGAAAGTCTCACCCAGCTTAATTAAGTTTGGCTATTTGTACCATTTGTTGTATAGTACAGCGTTTCTCAAACTGGGGTTCATGAGGGTACTTAAGGAGGTTATGTCCAAAATTTCATAAAGTATTTTTAAAAATGTGATTCATAGAATAAAAAATATTTTTCATAAAATTAAATTTATGTGAAATAAAACTGAATACAGCTTTTCATGTACATGGAATCATTTTTTAAAAAGAAAAAGCATCAATAGGTTTGGGGTTCACAAAATATTTTAAATTAAAAAGGGATCCTTGGGTTACTAAAGTTTGAAAATTACTGGTATGGTATATATAATATAAAGTAAACCCAGAATTATTTCTTCCTACTCGTATGCCTTAAAGATCAAAACTTCATTAAATAAGTAAAGGTTCCTCATTGATTCTTAAGTTTATCATTAGGCTGTAATGGTTATTTCCTTTTTATTTTAAAATATATGATTAACTTAAAAGTGTTGTAACTTTTTTTTATCAAATCATTCCTGTTGTTAACTAATCAAATGATTTGTGCAGCATGGGACTGCTGTTTGCAAATTGGGTATCAAACCTGACCATTCCACTTTTTTTACAACTCAAGCATTGTGTATAAGTATATATTAGAATAGACACATATATATATATATATATATGTGTGTGTGTGTGTGTCCGTTTCATGTTCTGAAAGAGTTCAATGATGATTTTTTATTATCTTTTTCTTCTTATTTTACAATTATAATGTTGTGTTCATTAAGTCTGCAGTTCTAGTTTCATTACTTGTATTTAATTGCATATGTTATTCATCACAGGACAAGTCAAAGTTTTTAAGTGTTTGCTTCTAATTCTACAGTATTATCAATTTAAAGAAGATTTGTCGTTCAAATTTATGATGTACATAAAAAGCTCGACAGAAGGAGACAAACAAATTATTGCTTTTAAGATAGTTTTAAAGTACCTTTAAAGAAAACCATGTGGTTGATATAAAACTTTAAATTCTCATGTGTACTATGATTGAAAAATGTTTTATAGTATTATTACACAAATGTAACTTCCAATAACAGTATGTTTATACATATATATATTTATATGTGTGTATGTATGTATGTATGTATGTGTGTGTGTATGCATGTATTCCATCTTTCATATAGTGCTTTTTATTTATTTTTGTGTGTCAGTGCTTTGCTATGTTTTCCTTTTATCTCATAAATATATATATATATATATATATATATATATATATACACAACCAGGGGTGACACTAGATTAACTGGCACCCTAGTTAAGGTTTTTTCCTTGCTCACACTGAATTCCTCAAGTATTTAGCTCCCTAGGAATTCACCTATGTTACCTACCCCTAATGCCAGGTCCATATATAATGTATCTGTCTGTCTCTCTCTCTCCCTATATACCTCAAAGTCTCCACTATATTAGCATGCATGAAATATATGAGATGTGAATAGATTTTGCCATTTTTCCTTTAGTATTTTTCTTCTGTATGAATGCTTTCCTGTTTTGCCTATTTCTTTAAAATATGACATATATATGTGTTTCTAAAAATTCATAGGAAGTATGCCTCTTTTATGACACCCTGTGTTCTTTTGATAGTTCCACTTTTGAAGTATGGTATTGAATTGTTATTGATGTGTGAGTTTGTGTAAAATCTTTGGAGATATTTTATTTTCTTGTTAATGGTTCTGTTTTGTTTTATTTTCAAACTATACACAGTATTTAATTTATTATTAAATAAATGTGGCATGCATTTAATCAAAGTACATAAAAACTACACAAAATTAATGGAGCAGGATTTTATAGTTATTATTTAACTAAAAAAATAAAAGAGTTGAAATAAGAATATGTGTTAGCATCACTATATATTCACTGAATATAGGTAACAAATCGGTTTCTTTGACAATACATAGCTAGTTATACCTTTTGCTACATGAGTACCCCTATATTCACAGTGGTCAGAGTTAGGGTCTGACTGAATCAATGTGTATGAAACAGTCACATTTAGCAAAAAAAGTAATTCACTATAAAAAGCGTGAATCTTTCTAGGATTGATACTGCCCTACATTTTTGGAGAATATAAGGAGAAACTTCAAGAATGATCTTGCACATTTGTCAGCCATTGCAACATGCCAATCTCTCTGTTGTTGCATGGTGAATTGAGGTGATGATTGCACAATGTACAGGGTGATCTCATGTGTATTCTGTGAAATTTAGATCCTTATTTTTCCTACCCTGTCAATGACATCTCAGAGAAATCCATCAAAGTCATAGCAGTATGATACCAGCTATTATCCTGTATTAGGGCAGAGTCTTGTCCAGTTAACTCTGTGAAAGGTCATACCAGTGGGTCAAGTAGTATAACAATATATATTATTGACATTAATTCCATCCCTGGGAAGCATTATAAAATCTGTACATGTATTCATACTGTTGTTAAATTCCACATCTTAACTGATATAACACTAAAATACTCATATTTAATGATGCAATAAGCATTTTGTTTTCATGTGGTTCTCCAGAATCAAACTAATTGGTCATTGATAGAAACCTTGAATGATATGTGAAGGTGTTGCCACTGTTTTTTTGTTATTGGCAAAGGTACCAACTGTGTTGTAAACTGAGAGGCTGAGGTATGTTTCTTACTGTTTGATCATGGGTAATCATTCACATTACATCCCCTGAAATCCACAGTAAGCCATCAACTTCTAATAATCATGTTGTGCATGTAGTGGTTATTCTGGCATAGATAACCTTGTCCAGGATGTCTAGTGTACAGATCAGTTGTCTGATAGTGTATTTATAACCTTTTTATTGTGAGATAAGATTCATCGAAATCACTTCTTGTCATTGTGTTTGTTCAGTTTCAAACATTTGAACAGCTTTCACAGTCGTACATTGTAAAAGATCTTTGTCAGCCAGTGGCAAATAACGTTGTCATATAGTCGTATTAAAACACTAAAGAAAATTGGAAATGTTTACCAAAATGACAAATGACCAAATCTGAGAGTGAAAATGTAGCTCTTTGTTTTTTAGGGCAAATAGCATGTAAAAAATGTGCACTGAAAGGTCCCTGCAGTTTCACAGCAGATTGCATATAATTAGTGACATATAAGTTTTAGGTATTGCATTCAGGGGTAATTTTACAGGAAATATTACGTGTTTTTTCCTTTTATTTATTTATTAAGTATAAGTTTGACAACCCTGTATTTTTTTCAAGTAACTTGCACATTGAACAAGATTTTATGGAAACAATGCTCCAAATTCCAAAATGTGGAATTTAAACTAAGAAAACTAAAATAAACCATTCTTTTAATCATTCCCTAGTTTCATGTTTAATGTAGTTGTAGTATATATATATATATATATATATATATA